AAATGAAAAAGCCTTCCATTTCCTGCCTGCCAGTTTGGGTTCAGCAGAGATGAGGAAGGCCTGGAATTGCTGTCATCTTTCTGGTGATGGATGAGAAGTGAATCTATGATCTCGGCGTAATTCTTAGTAGCATGTCTCCCTGTCAGCCCCCTTGCTTCTGCCACGAGCAATACTGACAGGGTCTCTTACCAAAACTGTCAGCCCAAAGGAAGGAGGGGAATGGGCTGTGAATGCTGAGGGACCCTTTCAGTGCTGGGGTTTTCTTTATCATGGGGCACCTCTCCTCAGCACTGCTCTTTGCTTTGTTTTCTGGGCAGAAAGAGAATTAAATTGTAGGTGTCTGTAATTCTTACACTTGAAACCTTCAGGACACTTTGTGCCTGCAGTGGGTCCTCTGTTATTACCAAGATCTTTGCTGTCCCTTAGAAGACTGACTGCCTCACTTGATTTGCTTTCCTTTTTTTTTTTTTTTTTTTTCTCCTCCTTTTTAATTTTGCTGGCCTCTTCATGCTCTTAGGGCACACACTGTTCGGATGATAATCATTTGTGCTGAGCCAGAGCATTAGACTGGATTTTGTTATTACCTGCTGTATTAACTCCTGAATCTTGGTGGTAATGTGTGGAAGCGCCCAGAGGGAGCAGCCAGCTTCATTAACACGAGTTTTGCAGAAAGCGTGGGTGACTGAAGCAAAACTTCATGGAGTTGAAGCAGCTCTGAGCCTCTTCCTTGGTGAAGCAATTTGTAGGGTCGGAGCCAGGAGGTCACAGTTACTTACCTGTTATGATTTCCTGAGTGTAACTGCTATTTGTCCCTGAACAGAAGCTAGAGCAGGCATAGCCCTGGGTTCCTGGGATCTGTAAGGAGGGTACTGGTGTTAAATTGAAACCATTTCATCCCTGGGAAGGAGTGACCACACCTGAATGTGAGCATCGTTTGAAGGATGTTTGCGTGGCACCTGTGAAATGCATTTGGTTGGTTTCAGAGCAGTTCCTGGTTTGGGTTTGTCCCTTGCCACCTTTGGGTCCTGTAAAGAGGCCAGAGGTGTGCTTGGCTCAGAGAAGCTGACCTTGCCCTCGGTCATATGTGAGGCTTGTTGAGATGCTTTGTACAGGCACAGCTCCCTTTCCTGTTGTGTATGCTGTACGTGGACCCTGGGAAAGAGAATAACTGTATTTGCTAAAATAGAGTGCTTGGAATACCTAACCTCCATCTGGATGCTCAGTGCAAGCATCTCCAAGTCCTGGGTCCCCTTGGAGAAGGACCTGGTGCTTTTAGAACAGGGATCTTTGGGGCCTCGTAAGACAGGGGCACCCCAAATCTCTCAGTAGTGGTCTTGGTTGTTCTGCAAAACACTGTGTGCTGTTGTGTGAGCCCCTTATTTCTGGCGTTTCTAGTCCAGCACTGCTGTGCTGCCAAGGGTGAGGTTCTTGCAGAGGAGGATCCTTTCTGTGTACCACAGATATGCCAGCTCTTAACTGGTTTTACTGGGAGCTGGGTGGCAGCTGACACACATAATTATATATATAGAGAACATACTGGCACCTAGTTTTGCACGTGCTTGTCCTGATGTCCAAACCCTCTCAGTACAGTTCTGCGTGGATCTTCAACAATCCAGTAAAAGCTGATTGAGGAGGAAGAGGTTTACTGTAGGTTGCAAGCAAGCTGAGGTGGTTCAGCCTGGCCTGGGAAAATTGGTTCCATAAAAACAAGGGATTTTAAGGACTAAAATAGCACAATGCCTTTTGCTGCTAATAGCAAGCGAGAGGAGCTGGGCAGGACAGCATTTACCTGTCTGTGGGACAGGGGTGGATCGTTCCTAACCCTGGGGAGGCCACATCACGCTGGGAGATGAGGCGGCTTGATTAAACCTTCCCTCTCCTAGGGAAGTGGGGCCTGCGGTGGCCGCGGTCCTGCGGGCACCCCAGGCTGAGCCTGGACACGGAGTTATTCTCCACCAAGGAGCAGCACTTGCCCACCACCTTTGCTCTTGGCACAGCTTCCCGCAGAGGCAAGGGTCAGGCCGGGCCCATGCTGGCCAAGCTGGGAACAGAAGCCCTGACGTGCCAAGGCTCAGAGCTGTGGAACTGCCGGCTGTTGCCTCTTTGTGCAGACACAGCCTTAAAGTCTTGTCCTTAAACGTGTGTGTCTTTCTCCCTGCTTTCTATTTTGTTAGTATTTTTGCGTGTGTCTCTAACCTTGAAATGCAGGTGTCCTCTATCAACAAGAAGGGAGATTAATTGTAGCCACTAAAGTGAATTTTGAGCTAATCTGCAGAAAGAACAACATGTTCAAACTGGCAGTTTATAATGTTGTGTCCTATCAGGCCTATCAGGCAGTAAGGAGAATGACGACTTCCTGAGGAGCATAGATAGGCAATACAACACAGAGTTGTTTGTTTTTTTAACAATGCAAGCAATGCAGATTTTAAATTGGGTTGCTGAGATGTCCCATCTTGCCCCCCCCCCCTTATGTCAGCAGTATTTTGTGAAAGGACATTTTAGCATCAAGTCTTGTGTACCAAAACGTTGGGTGCCATGGGGCAAGTTGGTTGGTTGGGTTGTTTTGACCATCCTGTGGCCTTTTAGTGCTGTATCTCTACTAGGTCTGACAAGTTAGAGCAGCATTTCTAAGGGGAGGAGGAGGGTTGTGGCATTTGAGTTAGGTCTTCTCAGTGGGTGGCTGCAGGGTATGTGGCTGGGGTAGCTGCTGCGGTTCCTGCTGGGTTAATTAGTGATCAGAGCGAGCTGGCCTGCTTTCACTCATCTGGTAGTAGAAAGTGATTGGGGGGGTGGGGTGTCTCAAGGCTTGGATTTGCTTTATTTCATATGCTGTCACTAAGAGTAGAGTACATTTTACGAGCCGCTTTGGACACTTGCTCCCTTAAGCCAACGCAGGCACCATACACGTTTTCTACAACGTTTGTCCCAATCCCTGACCTAAGCCATTACCTTTAGTACTCATTCATGCTTGGACTTCACACCCATGTAGTAAATTAAAAGGAGATAAATTATTATACCTAAGCATGAGTTGGGTCTTATATGAAGAAAGCAGTTTGGAGGCTTTTTGTTGTTCTGTTGTGTTATGGGGTTTTTTTAAACTGCCACAGGTCACTTAAGAATTGAGTTGTAGGACCAAAGTGGCTCCACTTTCCTGCAACTCATGTGCAGGTGGACTTTCTTCAAGGAATATTTAATCACAGCATCTTTGTTAAATTCTTGTCTCACTACAAACATACAGCAGCAAATGAAACAGCTGAAGGTGAGATTTCTGCTAGCTCCTGCTCCTTGGGAAGAGCAGGAGGCAGCCACGTGTGTACACTAAATGCTGTAGCGTGCCCTAGCACTGCTTCCTTCTAGCAGATGGCAAAAGGTTTAGCAGCTTGCTTGTGTCATGCGTTCCGAGGAGGAGGGCTGTAGCAAGCAGCTTGCTCTAGCATAGTCATGTTTTGTTGCTTTACATGAAGAAACTCTCCCTGGTAATCTGCATCGTGCAGCCATCCTGACTCCTGCAGGAAGGAGCTGCCGCATAGTGTCATGTCTGCACAGCCCTGTGGGGCAGAGGCTGTGCCCAGGCACCACACAGAAGCGGACATGGCGCTTCCTCCCCTCTGCCGCTGGGTGCCTCAGCCCACATGAAGCATAAACCGTTCTGCCTGTGCCTCCAGGTGTGCAGAACATGCAGTGACGGTGAATAGTGATTTTTTTTGGTGTGAGCACAGGCATGTGTGCCACAGCAGCCTCTCACACAGCCTGGGGCAAACACCTAACACCAAACCAGTGTGTAACAAACCTTCAGGTGAGGCCTTCAGGGAATGGTAAAGCTGTATTTCCCTATTGAAATAGGTACAGTACTTCTTCAAGATCCTGGACAACTAACAGCCTCCATCCTCACCCAGCGCAAAAGACGTGCACACAGAACGGTGTGTTCATTCATTTATTTGTCCAATGTTTCAACCTGACTGAAATACAAGATCAACAAGAGCACTGTACTCCTGGCTATTATTACATGTTAGAACATAGAGTTTTGCACTTTAGACAACATTTAACACCATTCTATGGGGTACTGCATTGCTTTTATAAAGTTTAAAATAAAGATTTATTTTCAAACATGTGACTTTGGTTTATTTCATACATTACACTTTCTTGCAGAAAAAATAAAATTGTACAACTGCATAAATATAAAATTCTTCCACCATGAAAATGGTTAAAACATTCAATAAAGACATTAGCACCACAGTGTGCGATGCCTCGAGCAGGAGAGAGAGAAAAAAAAAAAAAGATAATATAGAAAGCAAAGAGTTATGCCTATCACTGAGGAGAGTGATAGCCTGACCCAGTCTCTCACACAACATATTGGAGGATGAGGGAGAAGGTGGAGAGAGAGACAGCATTTGCTATGAAGCACAGTACACAATCATCTATCTTCTTTAACGTCACTTAAGTTAGTTTTCCCTGCCACCCCTCCAAATGAAATACCCTAACACCACAGAAAAGTCAGAAGCCTTATGGAGTGCTGTTAAATAGTCTCACAGGTGGGCCTTTCTTTGAAAAGGAACAAAATAATGAGAAGTATCATGCCAGTTCTAGTCCCATTGAGTATTTACACCTTGGACAGCAAAAGTCTTTGCTCACAAGAAGTAGAAAACAGATACAATACATGGCTTGAAAAATGACCAGAGTATGCACCTATAGTACTGTACACTAAATAAAATACACAAGGCAGCAATACTTAGGGGCCAGAAACACTGCTTACTACAAGTCAGTTATGGAATCATAATTTACAGTAAAAATGGGCATGTCCCAAGGCTCAATTTTGTTTTCTTTTGTCATTTACAGTAGAATAAATATTTGTCACTATTGCTACACTTTGTTTACATTCTAACCTAGTAAATGCAGAAAGCTAGTGTAAAGCATATAGATTACGTGTAGGTCCCATACGTATGACAGTTTGTTCAAGACTAGTAGGTTTTCTTTTTTGTTCTTTTTTTTTTTTTTTAACCTTTTTTTTTTTTTTTTTTTTAACCTTTTTAAATGGCTAGGGGGGCGGGGTTGGGGGGAAGACAGTTGTGCTTACAATCAGCTGCTTTTTATGTCAAATTTAATATCAAAGCGTCCCTGGAAGCGGTCTTTGTCACTGTACTGGATATTTTGCCCGTAGGCCCTGCATTCCACACGCACCTCCATGTCGTAGGTCAGGTTAGTGAACTGCACGGCCACCAGTGGCTGCAGGTACCGCGGCTGCAGGAGCTTCCCGTAGTAGGGGTAGTACTGCAGGGCAAAGCCAGCATAGCCGCCCATCCCATAGTACTCCACTGTGCCAATTTTGTCTGCATCTTCCTCTCTCTAGAGGTGGGAAAAGGAAGGACAGACAATGACAGTCACAAACTACAGTCACCCAAACTCTACCTTTTGCAGCCTTTTTTTTTTTCTAGCAGCATCTTGGTTTTCACCACAACCTCACCCTGACAGCATGAGGCTGCCCCAGGCTCAAGAGGACACTTAAGCGCTGTCTAACCTGTAGCTAGGCAAAAAGAACACCCGACTAGCCAGGAAAAGAGCTTTTCTTTATTTAAAGCCTCAACCCCTTTACGCAGTCAGAAACCACCACAGGTTCCTGTCATAGCAGTGCACTATTTGGCTAAAAAAAAAAAAAAAAGGAAGGCAGTTTCTGAGCTGCTTTACAACACCAAGTAAAACACCTCTCTGCCCTGGAGTCCCTTTTTCAGCTGTCCATGCTAAGAGCTCCAGTACAGCACTTGAAAGCAAAATGGCAACTTTCTGAGGATGCCTTTTGCTGTCTGGACCCACTTTTACCCTTCCCTGTGAGGGCAGCACTAACTGTCACCCATCATCAATGGGGTTTTGAGAAACTACCATTCCAAAGGGGGAGGACAGCCCAAATTAAGAATCATCGCCATTTTCTGCAGAAAACTACACCCAGACAAAGACCTGGCCGGTCCTGCCCTGCAGCTTCCCGCCGCAGCTCAATTGTATTCCAACTTACCTTGGCAGCACAGTGGACAGGGATGAGATAGGGGTTATATTTTGCCATAACCTCTGGAGGGAGGCTCTCATTTACCGGAGCCTGGAAGAAACCCAACACAAAGGGCCGTTACACACGTACAGGGGAGCACCTTTGCAGCAGCCACGGTACTGAAGACGTGCTGTTAACCAGAACCCCCTCTACGTTGCAGCAAGAGCGCTCAGCAGTGGTTCTCAGCCCGGATGAGCAGTGGAACTCACTAACCCAAGCAGAGCTGCTGTCTGTTCTTACAGCTGGACTGCTGCAGATAGCACGGCAAGCAGACCAGGCTGGTTTCAATTCCACGGTGTCGCTGAGGAAGGCGTTTCAGGGCAGGGTGCTAGCCAGCTGGCCTTGCTCCTGCACAGCCCAGGCCATGAAGGAGGAGCTGCACTGCCGGAGGATTTGCCACCTGCCTGCCAGGTGTGTTGCAGCCAGGACCAGGAATGCACAACGTCAGTCACACCCCAACCTCGCTGAACCTCGACACACCTACGCAGGGAAGGACAAAGGCTCCCAGTGTGGCAGGGAGAGGTGGGAGCACCAACACCAGGCTTTGGTCTCTTAGTAAGTGCAGTCGTTGGGCTTCACAGCCTGGCAAGGCTCAGACCTGCCTGACACACACCTTGCCCAGCACAAGAGCTAAAGGGTCTCTGCCAGAGCGTGGAACAAGAAAACAAACACCACCCTGGATACACACATCGCTGATAAAGGGAACACGTAGAGTCATTTGCTGACCAGCCCCTGCTGTCTGGTGTGGTCTGCAGCTCTTCCAAGCTCCAAAGGGAAGAGGAACACACCAAACCCTTCTCTTCCTCCGGCACCAGACACCATCCCACAGCCACCACACATGAAGCACAGCACATTCCTGCTAACATGCACCCACTGTTTCCACCCTGCACCAGATGAGCCAAAATTTTAACTTTTAGCACAGGACAGGATCCCTTTCAAGAAAAATGTTCCGCACCATTCCCTGCCCTTGGCAACACCAGGGATGGTGTCGAGGGCAGCTTAGCACACCATTTTCACCATCTTTCACCCAGAAGACTGAGTGGCAGGTTTTACACAGCACCTCATTCAATAGTGCATGCTCTGCCACTAAATTCTTGGAGAACTTTTTAGTATTTAAATGCATTGGGGAAAAATCTAGAAGTAAAAGCCATGCCTGTCCAGATGAACACCTTTCAGTGTTACTGCACACATGCTTTCAGGTGCAGCACAGAGCAAGTGGGTGACAGATATCCTAAGCATCTGGGAAGCTGCATGAAATAACCTAATGATCTCCTCACTTCTTTTGCAGTAAGAGCTGTGCCTGTTTCTCAGATACAATTTACATTTTATAGGCCTGTGTTTCAGTCTGATAGTTAATATTAGCACACTTCATTTAATTAAGTGGTTTTAGCAAGGCAGGTAAGTCTACACTGCCTGAGGAAAGCACAGAGTAGATCAGAGCAATGACACAATGTACTGATCTTACTACTGCTAGAGTCTCTCTGGGACAGTCCCATGGAAGCACACAGAACTTAAAATGGGTTTCATCCCTTGAAGAAAATACCCCGTTACAGCAACTCAGTTACCAGGCTCAGAAGCTACCAGATAAATAACCAGTTTGCACAGTGAGGTTCACTGCTACTTCTTAGCAGCTTGCAGTGGGTGCTTTTCATTGCTTGTAAATGGAAAGTATTTTTAAAGCCAGTTACTCAAATCGTCTCACAATATCTCCTCTGTAAAAGGGCTTTAATACTGATCTCTCACCAGAGACAGAAAAGCAGGCACAGCAAATCTGCAGCCAGCTCATCCTCCTGTTCAGGAGCTTCTGCTGGGAAGGGAAGAGATACTTGCCTTAGGTTTGAAGCCAATAATTCTGTTGAGCTTGACGAGGATGCATGGTTTGCCATCCTTGTACCCAAAGGTGGGATCATTTATTCCGGAACAGTTTTCCAGCCATTCACGTTTGAATTTGCAGACCTTCTTCTGGCCCTGGGCATCGTTATATGGTCCTCGCTCTTTGTAATCAGTTGGTATGTCTGTCACCGTGGGGGAAGGAAAACACAACCACATGAACGTGACCATTTTGCTTGTCAGGAACAGCAACACACACACTTCACTGCACAGCCCGGCCTACACCCTCATCCAAACAGGTGACACCACAGACCTGCATCCAGCCACCCCCACGTGGGGGCTGCTCCCAGACCAGCAAGTCTGCAGGGGTTTTAGGTTTTGAACCGAGGATTCTTCCAGATGACAAGAGAACACACACATTTGTAATCCACTGGCTCAGAGATTATTTTTTTTAGCAGCTTTTACAAACAGGTTCCCCTCAGATGCTATATGCACATATTACAAGGCGACAGTCTCATTCGCTTTATTATATAGACTCTATTGAAGGTTAATACCTCCCAGATGCTTTGCTGCATTGCATCAAAAGGACAGACACTGGCTTTAGCAAAGGCATCAGTAAAACCCTCACAACTTTCAGAGAGGATAAGGTCAGCGCCACATGCCTCTGGGAGTCAGCTGCAACTTTCTCCAAGAGAAATCTGGGAGTTCCCAACCATATAACTTCTACAGTAAGCCTCTAGGTACATCCCTGGCCAAGTCTGGTCTATTCAAACTAATTTAGTGAGCAGCCATATGACTGAAACCAGAGCCTGCCAGTTTACCAGCGTGCTGTTGATGACAATAAAAGGAACAGCTGAGGACAGACTACCACTGCTCAGCCTCAGCCTCCGAGGGACCTGACGCAGAGACACTGGTCAGAGCCCCCAGCTGCACAAAATGATCGAGACTTACCCCCACAGTCCTGAAATACTATGCTTTCAGTTTGCTGATCAGCACTGTAGTCCTTTAAGAACTTCTCAAGGTTCTTCACATACGGCTCAAAGCTTTTGGGATCGGAGGCACTAAAGGAGATTTCTGTCTTTTGTACCTGGGGAATCTGAGTCAGTCCTAAGAAAAGCAAAATCGGGAAGAAAACATTAAGTACACCTCAGAGCTGCACAGCCTCCGGGCAGCGCGACACACACCAAGAACATAACTCATTCTAATAATCTCTATTTTTCAGACATTAGGACTTGCACAAAACAGCTTAAGCTCACTAGAGAGGAGGCTTTGACAGGCTCTTATCTCCTCTTTCTAACAACAGTCTGGAATATTCGTCATGATGTTTGCATCACTAAGCAGATAAAAATCACAGAACCCAGAAGGGAGACTACAAGTCAAGGCTTTCCTCAAGAAAAACAGTCAACCGCAGGTCTCCTGTCCACTTCTGCCTCCTCCTCAAGGACAGAAGGGAAACTGTCTGCACACAAGACCAACTACATGAAATAAAGCCCCACAGAAGCCTGCTCTTACGTACTTATCCCTAATAGGTTGACCTGAAAGTCTGCAAACCAGGCTACACGTCCAGGATACAACAGAGCTGTCTGCTCATGACACCTGCAATAAAAAGCGAGAGGTTGCCCAAGTCAGGTACAGTCACTCTCTGCTGGTTGTCATCCACGGCGCCTCCATGTCAGCTCTCCTGTAGGGTGCAGGGCCGGAGGCATTTCCTCCCCCAGTAAATTCATCAGCCTAATCGCCTTCTCTGGTCTTTTCACTCTGTACACAGGTATTTCTGGTTGCAGAACAGTCTGCTGAGCTCTCTAATCAGAAGCTCATCACGGAGCAGGCGAGTAGGAAATGCCACCACACAGGAGACACGCTTAAAGGACTGTCCTAGATCCTGGGCTGTGTAACTACCTCCACTTTTGACTTTAGGAGGATGAACAGACAAAGAAAGCATGGAGGACAGAAGGGACTAGATACCAGCAATGCCTACAGATGATAAGAAGTGCTGACCCCCTTGGCTTTTCATTACAGGACTTGGAAGTAGTTGCTCCTGCGTGATGTTTAGGTCACATTTTAATTGAACACACTAATGTGTGGCCAACACTTTAAACTTCAGTAATGGGAACTCCAGTTCATGCTGCTTTTGTGGCAGCCACTGTAATTACCGAGGTCTTGACTTCTGCTCAGTTTGTCGTCTTCATTTTAGCAAGAACAAGAAAAAGGAGCAGGGGAGCAGCATTTGCTCTGACAGCTTTCAGAACAGGCCTGTTGCCAACAAGTTCCCCTGGTGCAAGACTTGGGCAGCTTAACTGACTGGCCCCAGCCCACAAGAGCTTGTGACTTCAGTAATTTTTCCAAAGCCACTTGAGTGCTTCTGCTTAGTCCCTCCTCAAGCCAGCTCACCACCCCCCCGCCACTACCCACCAAGTTGGAATTTGTAACCTAGGACAAAGATTAGCTTTGTTCCCCTAAACGCAGCTCCTAGTCACCAAAGATAGCGAGACATCCAGCCAGGAGCTTGGGGGTTTCAAGTTTTATTCCAGGAAGCAGCTTTAACCGCTCAAAACTCCCTCTGGTACAAACTGACCAGATTGAGCGTTACAAGTTTAGAAGTGACTTACTACTCCACTAGCAGAATTACATTCTACCCTCCAAAGTCAGTGGCTTTCAATGCCTGCTCAAGCAATTATTTGCTTTCTTGCTTCAAACGGTTATAAATAAATACATATAAAATAAATACACCGAGTTCAATTTTAGTAGGGGACTTCAATCCCATCCTGCCAAACCCTCCTCGTGTTACCTCTCAGCTGGGAAGCAACAAGCTCAGAGTCACTCGAAGTGGCCAACTGGAATTGCAGTGAAGGCAGGCCAGGTCTGGGTTCCTTTCCTGGGTCTGCCTTTTCCAGAGTTCAAGTTACAGGTGTGTCGTTCAAGTGTATAAATATAAAATTCAAGAATGCTCAGCCAGGCTTGTTAAGCTTTGTCACACAGTTAACCTATTCGTTTTGCTCAGGACCTCTAAAACGAAGGAACTCCCCACCTCTGTGTTTCATCTTAACTGAGGTGGCATGTGAAAGTACCCCTGCAGGCATGGCAAAGGTGAAGGGAAGGTCAGCAACACGCACCTCATGGTGTGTAAGAGCCGCCTGCTAGAATCTCTCTGGTTTGGAACGCCCGGCCACCGGTATGTACAGTCCAAAGCCAACCCTCTGCCCAGGAGACAACTGACATGGCTGGGAAAGCAGCCTCCCACCCCAGAGCATCCCTGCCTTGCAGATCTTCGCAGAGCAGCACCAAAGCCCAAGTGTTACCTCTGTGTAGCTGCTCCAGCAGCCAGCACAAGAGAACCACCATTTCTGCCAGGCATTTCTGCCAGGCAGGCTGGGCTTGTGGCCAGAGCTGGGCTGCTTTCAGCCCAACTGTGGGTGTTTACAGGTCCCTGGAGGAACCAGACTGGACCAGGTTTTGGTACAGCAGGTGCTTGCTTTGTTTAGGACAAGAGCAAAGCAAAGATCAGTCTTCCCCTTTGTGAAGATGAAAGACTTGTTAAGAAAAACAGCTTTATCCTGATTAAAAATGTATTACTGGCTTCCCCCATCCTCACACACTACAACTGACTGGATGCAAAGCTCAGATCTATCCTTCTTTCATTTTCTGTCTGTACATCCCATGGCCAAAATACAAGTTTCAGTGCTGTTACCAGAGCAGCACAATTACTGAATCCTTAAGCAATCTTATTTAAAATAAAGTGTGTTGATTTGGTATGATGAGAGGCTGTAACCTCTGCAGAAGATTTCTGTAACCTTTCTAAATCCTTCTCTCATCCCCATTTGGGAACTGAAGCAAGTAGGGACAAGAAAAAAAAATTAGAAAGTTGAGCCATTCCAGTGCTACCTACTACAGGCTGGTAGACACCTGAGGAAGTATGTGGCTCCAGTGAGCATGAATAAGCCTCTTAGGGGCTTCAAGCACGTGAGGAAGCCATTTATAAGCGAGTCCTATGGGGGAAAAGAAACAGAGCCTCAAGTGCTTCCAGAGCCAGGAACAACCCACTCCCCATCTTCAGGCTCTGATCTGTTTGCTGCACTCCTGCAGCTCATGGTGCTGCCACACTACGGTGTCACATGTGGTGATGCTGTTCTTCACACATCACACATGGAAACACCAAGTAGCTTACTGCTAAAACACTGACAAACTACTTCAGAAAATTTCTGCAACTGGCTCTTAAGAGTGCACTTGCTAGGAAATAAGATTCCTATCTTCACTATCACACATAAATGAGTGATGCCTTGACTGGGCAACGGACACCACCTTCTGTTGGCTTTTTAATTCTGTGGATGTACAAAGACACCAAAAGCCACAAAAAACATGTAAAGTCATTGATTTTTTTCTTTTCAGATGCAGTTCCACTGTTGCAGATTAAAATCGCTTTTATTCAAGTTTATTTAAAACCAGATTTTCCATATAGACGTTGTCATTCTAAGGTGCAAGAGGAAGACTTTAGGGAAAACAGTGTCCTGAGGGTGAGGAGGAAGAAACTAGGAGTGGGAAGTCAGGGTTGTTATTAGGAATGGTTGTGTTGTAAGTCCACAGGAACCACTCTTGCTTCATCATGCAATGCTTATTTCCAAGGACTGTATAATCTTGGTTCAGAATGAGTCTGAACACACTTGGGATGACACAGATGACAAACAGTGATCACTACACACCATTCTTATTTACCACCCACCCCCCCTACTCACTAATTGAGGACAGAATTTCAAAGCCTCCACACCAAGCAGTATCCTTCCAAGCTTCCAGTCACCCTCTACCTCATCCCCAAAATGCAAAAAGCAATTGCAAGTTTTCTACAAATGCAGCAAAACCTGATTGGCAAAAAACATCCCTGGAGCTCAAGATTCAGCGATTTTCCCAAATGTAGGTGCCGAGATGACAAGACACAGAAGTGGCAAAGCACGACTCAGCAGGAGGCAGCACCAGCTCCTTGGGGCCCTCCTGCCACCTCCCCACACCGGAGAAGCCAAGTGGGGAATACACCAGAGCAGCCCCTTTCCATGACATGCTCAGTGCCCAGGCAGCAACTAGGCAGGGACACCTGAAATCCCCTGGTTTGAGCAGGGAATATTCCTTCCAGCTGCCCCTTAAAAAAAAAAAAAAACAAACAACCCGAGGCAGCAGCCCTGGCGCTGGGATGCTGCGTTTCAGGGGATGCACACCACAAGATGGCAGGATTCACAGCCCAATTTATACTGGGGTGGGGAAGGGGAGGAGGGGAACAGTATTATTTTTTAAACAATCGGTAGACTGTGTTTAAAAGGCAACATCCTTACCCTTCCCTGTCAGTAGGGTAAGTCCTGTGCCTAAAGCAGAGTCTGAGCCTGCAGCACACCTGGAGCTGGAGCTGTGGCAGTGGCAAGGCTGGACAAGGTGAACTGCACTGTCCCTTCCTCCACCCCAAGACAAGAGAGGAGGGAAAATAAAACTGTCATGGAAAGGTACAAAACTCCACTTGCCCTGAAGCACCTGTGTAACATTCCTGTTGCATTCAGTGCAGAAACTAATTAGCATATTAATGACACCTGGCTAGAAAAATTGCATTTTATGGCTTTCAATGTTATACCCGTGTCAAGAACTCCATAAAACATCCTGTAGGTTCAGTTGCTGCTAGGAAATGTGTTGTATTTCTGAACAATACTATAGCAGCCCCTACAGCATTTTCTCCTGCAGATCCTGAAGGGAAGCATAGTTTCCCCTTTCCCAGCCATTTTGGGCTGACAACAGTGACTTGCCCAAGGACGGAGCACTGTTAACAAGAATGAAACCAGGTTTTCTAGCTTCCTAGAAAACCCAGGGCTCTATCAAGCTGCCAGTATACTTACTTGGTTTGCAAACCTTCCCATGAGAACCAGGCATTAGAATCACACACCACCTTGTTTTATGTAGCTCAGTCTGGAGGGGTCCCAGATCACAAAAATTTCGAGTTTGATGCTCACCAAGTGCAGGAGTGAACTGCCCACGTGGGTGTGTGTCGTCAGGAGAGCAGGGGAACGCAGGGAGCGCTGACCTCCCACATACAGCAGTGCAACAACTCGCCACCCTGCCCAGCTCTCGCCAAGCCCACATGAAAAGCCTGGGTTTGACTCACTGGGGTCTAACAGCTGCTGCGCTACAGGGCAAGGAACAGACTCAGCTTAAGAGCCAACCTCCCCCACCCTCACCCCCAGCTCAGCCGCACCTGCACAAAGAGCTGGTGCGTGATGCCCTGCAGAGGACCCTGTGCTATTACCTGGTCATTATTTCCTCAAAGTTGTAAGTATGTGCCACTACAGCGTGGCTCAAAGCCCTTGTTTATTGGGCTGCCTGCTGTCGTATATCCAAAGGAGCTGGGTTTTGCTCCCCCTTGATTTCAGTACATGTCCCAGAAGCCCATTACAGAGATCCTGATGACCTTTTCATTCTTCCTTCATTTTGATTTCTATGGTACAAACTACTCGCATGTCTTGAAATTCAGTTCCTTCATTTTGGTTAAAAAAAGGGTAAGCCCCAGAAAAACTGGTACAGCATGCAATTAAGAGATGACTAAAAATCCTCTGCAGGCTGAAATCTTACACAGAAATTTTACCAGAGTTGCTTTCAAATTGGAACTGAAGACTTATTACACAGAAAGCGAACAGTTTACCTAGAATAAGTAATTATATGACATCAGGCTAAGCAGCAGGTCTGTCTGGATGGGGCCCAAGATCCTTGGGTTTCTTCGCTAATTATTTCGCATCTGGTGAGACCACTGGGCTTCAGCCGGGGAAAAACACCTTATTAAAATAACAGCTACTCCATCATTAGCCATGTTGGCTTTTGAGATGCAGCTAACGGCTCTGGGCAGTATCAGTGACAGTTTATGTCTTTCCTGCAAATGTCAGAGCCCACTGCAGAGACAGAATCAGCCACTTCCGTGCTTAAGGCAGCATTTACCCCAGCCATGCTGGTACATTAAGGAGTGCCACACATTAACACAGCAGCTTCTGTCTCTGTTCTGTCTTTACAAAGTACTGGTGGAAAAGCAGTTCTCCGAAAAAGACAATTCTTTGCTGAGCTATAGCACCATTTGGTGATTGTAACCCCCAGTGCAGGGAATAATCCCAGTGGGGCTGTGAGACCCTGTGCAACACCAGAGCCAACTCCTGTAGCTACAAGCCATCAGCCTCACAATTGTCACTTAAATACCACTGTTATTAAAAGCTTCTGAACTGTTTTACAGAGCAACTGGAGACAGATCGTTACCATCCCCAGTGCCAAGCAGCCTCAAGGTCATTGGTAATGTGGGAAAGCAGCAGTTGCACAGCTCCCCCGCCACGCTCTGAGCCGCCACTGGCTCTGCCGGGGATCAGCAGAGCGGGGAACCCGCAGCAAGGGCTAGTCACTCCACCTGCCACTAGCCAAGGCCAGCCATGGAGACTGCTCAGGCGATCCTTTCAGTTTTGCGCAGAGTTGCTTTGCCTAGCAAAGACAGGTCACGCAGCAGCAGCCGCAAGAACCACCTCCCACGGCAGTCAGTGGAACACGCATCAGTAAATGCTGCCACCTCCTCCAGAGCACACGCGGCCCAGCACCAGTAACCCTGCTCGGGAAGCACACCCAGAACCAGCGCTTCCCCTGCCTCCCCTGGCACCCCAGCCTCATGGGTAAAGCTATCAGTTCACCTCTGTCCCCTCACTTACCCATGGGAACACAGTGGCTATGCAGGAAAAGAAGCTGAACCCAGCTTCTTCACACAGCTCATTCCCAAGTGAAGCCGCTCGGCCTCACTCTATCACTGCGGTTTAGGAAGAAGAGCAATCCAGGCTGGAGCTCCTCACAGGCAGGAGGCATATTTCATGTGATGCAACCTTTAATTCTAGCAGGATTGCCTCTGAGCCCCAGCACTGTTCACACAGAAGGCTGAGAACATACCCACCCCCTACAAATATGTGTTGCAGCAACGACTCGCTTATTTCATCCTCCTTCTTGAGGTGAGTAACCAACCCGCCTCCCCAGAACAGCTTGCACCAAGTCACACACGGGCCTCCCATTTCGTTACCTGGAGGTGCCACTCGATCCTGGTATTTGGGCTCAAATTCGCTGACAGTGAGCAACATCACTTGGATGGTCCCAATGAATATACCTGCCAGGCAGCCGTAGAAGATGACATAGAAGAGGAGGATCTTAACTGCAAGAGAAGAGAAACAAAAAAAGGAATCAAATCAAGCCCTCGAGGCAGTCCCATCTCAGGACAGAACTCCCAACCTTTGCCACTCGCAAGTAAGAGCCCAGCACACTGAATTCAGATGGCAAGCCCTGTTGCAGAGGGGTGCATCTAACAGAGACTCTGCCCTGATGCAGACAGAAAATATACATCACTCCACTTGTTGGGGGGGCTAGAAGAGCCCCTGAAAACCTAGAAATCCATGAATCAGGATTTGGGGTTGTAATACATGAAGATTAAACCACGGCCTTTCGTATTTTCAAAGACCCCTCAGCTGACCCAGCGCTGCCATCACACACTGTCACAGGTGAGAGACTTTTGGCGAAGCAAGTGCATAAGGACAAGAAGCCATCCCATGGGTGCGCTCTGGAGGACACCCACAAAGGTCCGGGCCTCAAAGCCATTTCCAGGAGTCTACAGCAAATGCTTCATTTGGATTTACAAGCAACGGGGCAGCCTGATCTCCCCATGTGATTCCAGCTGTCACCTCCATGAAAGACAACAGGAGGAAAATTGGGGCCCAAATTAGCTCCAATACTCAATTTCAAATGTAGGAGATATTCAGATGTGTCACAGTACCACACGCTTACCAACTTCCTATGTCTACAAAGGCACTCCAGCACTGCTCATACCAATTAAAAAGTGAGTTACATAATTAAAGCTTGAATTTAGTTTTGGTCTGGGGGGAGATGCCTAGAATAATCGGGAAAGGGAAGTGAAGATGAGCCTGGAAACGCAGCACAGCTCAGACTCCGGGTATCAGTTACCAGTTTACAAGGATTATCTCAACTGATTAACTGCACAGTAACATGCTGTACTAGGCATCACTGGGCTGCCTACGAGAAGGATAAGCCAGCCCATGCCAGGCAACTTATGCTAATGGGGCTGCAGGAACAAGCAGGCCAGCGCAGGGGCCAAAGAGTACTTGAGAGCCTGCTCGATCCCACTGTCCTCATCTAATGGCAAACAAAAAGAAGAGGTGGTTTATTTGAAGTGACAAGCTACAAGGCAAGGGGAGGAAGTAGTAGGTGGAAGTATTCCTCCTGGCTCCCCAACCCTGTTGTAACAAACACTCCATCACTGGAGAAGCCTCCCAATGACAGCAGGCGGTTCTGGTCCTTTTCTTTTTAAGCCTACGGCAGGCAGGCGCACAGCAGGGACAGCCAGCGCCACGGAGGCTGCAGGACAGGCACACCGTCCTCTTCTCTTCCTCACATGCACCGGAGGCAGGGGAGGTAGGCAGGGCTGGAGGGCAGAGCTGGGTGCGGTAACGTGGTGCTCCGGGAGTTAAAAGTACTCTTTGGTATCCAGGCAGCGTAAAGCAAAGGGCCGTGACGTCAGGGACGTGTGGAAATTTTTTCCAGAGCATGGTCATAGGAGGTGCTGTTGTAACAAACCAAACACTAATGCTGTTGTCTGCAGCGTAACGCCTTTGAGTTTTGTAACATCAAAAGGCAAACGCTGGGAGGTAGCTTATTTAATCAGGTTTCCAGCCAGGATGCTCTTAATGCCAAAGGCACCTTAAAGGTCAAAACCACTCCAGGGTCTCAGAAAATGCACAGCAGGTCTAGCAATCAAGCACAACGGGGTTGAACGAGAAAGCTTCCCGCAACAGGTAGGCTTAGAACAGAGGAATGGGAGCATCAGCCTGCAGATGGACCCCACAGATGGCCATCAGTCCTGGGCAGGTAGGTACAGGCACTCTGGGAGAAGGACCCGGTTCAGCCTCCGCGTCTGAAGCACTGCGCAGTTGCCTGGTGCCTCAGGAGCAGAAAATACCTATCAGTGCGCGCCCACAACCCGATTCTGCTCACGTAAAGACAGAGCAGCAGCCTGCTCCAGTCCGCCTGCCCGAGCTAAAGCTGGCGGCTCCGGATGTGGCACCTCCGGCTGATCCATTACCACGGGTGCCCAGTTCAACATCGCAAGGGTGGCACAGCAGCTGTACTTGGCAGCGACTGGAAGACTGTCTATTTGTGTAAAGAAAACGTTAAAAGCCTCTTGGTCTAAGTGCTATTTGTACAGCACCTAACAAATATATTGTAACCGTTTAATCACGAAGACACATAGAACCATTTCCTTCTCGCAGAGGCATTAAAAGCCAATTGTTCTCTCTCGGCGAAGTAAAACGAGCTCAGTTGCCTTCATCCAGAGAAAAGGGTAAAAGAGAAAAGCCGCCCTGAGGTCTAGGGCAGGTGCCGGCTGCGGGGTGCAGGCTCCCCCGACGGCGATGCTCCCGGGCCGGGCCAGCCTCCGAGGAAGGAGACCCAAGGACGAGGCGCCCTCGCCAAGGTCGGCCTGCCCCGGG